AGCTCCTGCCCCCGCTGCTGCTGCGCGACGCCTTCTTCAGCCCCTGGAGGGTCCTTAACGAAGGTGCGAGCCCCCCTCCTCTCTCTCCCTCTCCCTCTCCCTCCCTCCTCTCTCCCTCCCTCTCTCTCAGAGACAGAACCCACCGCAGCCCCCTCAGTGCCCGCGTGCCCCACCGTTGACGTGGGCCGTTGGGTAGATCTTGCCGGTCATCGGTGTTTACGGAGAAAGCACGTAGGCTCGGAGCTTTTATTTTTCTATTTAATTTTAAACATCTTTTTATTGACTTCAGAGAGGAAGGGGGAGGGAGAGAGAGAGAAACATCAATGATGAGAGAGAATCACTGATGGGCTGCCTCCTGCTGGGGATCGAGCCCACAACCCGGGCCTGTGTCCTGACGGGAATCACACCCTGACCTGCTGGTTCATGGGTCCACACTCAACCACTAAGTTACACCAGCCGGGCTTAACAAGGTGGTTTTAACAAGCTTTCCAGAATATTCTGACGCACACCAGAGTTTGCGAACCACTAGTTTAAAATGTGAAGAGAGGCATGACTCAGGGCATTCACCCTAAAAATGGGAAAGCATGAGCCAGTATTTTCCAAATTGTATTATGTCGAATAAGGTAATACCAGATGCTCTATAAATAAAGGGGTTTGTGGTCAAATATATTTGGGAAGCACCTATCTACATTTTTCGTGCAATCGGACCGTGACCTCCTGGTTCATAGGTCGATGCTCACCACTGAGCCACACCGGCCGGGCTGCTGGGAGATTTTAAAGGCCTAACTGTGCCTCAGAAACACCTGTGTCAGGCCTTGCAGCTCAGCATTCCCGGGGGAAAGTGTCCCAGGCCCGGCTGCCTCCCCGCCCCCCCCCCGCCCCCCGTGGTTTCAATGACACTGAAGGAAATCGGACTTTATATCCCACCTGATAAACGAGGCCCTTTTCCGTAAACACTGTCCGGAGGCCACGCTCAGTGCTACGTGGTTTCAGAAGGTCACGGCGGGGTCACGTGTGGAAGGGAATAGTTTAGAAACCGCTTCAGTTTCTGGGCTCTCCACACTCCCCGGTCCCTCCTTTCTTCCCGCCCCCCTGTTCTCTCTCTGTCTGTGTGTCCGGAAGCTTCTCTCCGGCTCCGAAGGCTCTTGGCTCTGAGTGGCTGTGGGGAGGAGGATGAGGAGGCCACTGTACCCGCTCAGTCGCCACGGAAACGGTCAGCACAGCGTGTGGGAGAGGCCAGGGTGCAGCCAGGCTGCCAGGGGATCTGACTGGTCCCCACAGGGTCCCTGGGGATGGGGATGGCTGGCGCTTTGGAGGTGAAGGGCTGCGCCCCTCCCCCACACTCCTCAGGGCTCCCTCAGCCAAGCCAAGTCCCCACTGCTGTTTCTGATGTTAAAATTCAGCAAATGCTTCCCTTGACTGTAATGTTTTTGCTGCAGAAAAATAAAGCAAAAAACTTGAGCATCTGCCCTGGCCAGGTGACTCAGTGGTTAGAGCCCGTGGACCGGGGGTTCCCAGGTTCGATTCCTGATCAAAGGCATGTCCCTCGGTTGCGGGCTCGATCCCTGGCTCTGGTCAGGGCACACGGGGAGGCAAACAATCGATGTGTCTCTCCTTCTCTCCCCCTCCTTCCTCCCCCTCCTTCCTCCCACCAACTCTCTAAACATCAGTGGAAAAAGGAGCCACAGGTGAGGATTAACAACAAAACACTCGAGCATCTGAGGGGCTCACGTCTGGGTCCCCTCGGACCTGAGTCCCGACCACCCCGCACCCGATCAGTCCCCTCAGGCCCGGGGTCCAGGCAGGGCCAGGCACCCACAGCCGGTGTCAGAGAGAGCTGGAAAGCTTCGGGGGCTGAGTCGGGACCCCTGAGGGCGTTGGTTCGGAAAGCGCGTGGTTCAGGTCTGGCCGGAGACACGGTGTCTTGCAGGAGGTGTGGACCCCCTGGTGCGGGGCCTCCTGGCCAGGCCGGCCAAGCTGCAGGCACAGGGCCAGCTGGTGAGCGCGGAGCTGACGGAGAGGCTGTCCGTGCTGGCGCCCGCCGGGACCTTCGACCTGGCGTCGCTGAACCTGCAGCGGGGCCGGGACCACGGGCTGCCAGGTGAGCGCCTCGCCCCCCGGCCGGGCGGGGCCCGGGGGCCAACGGGAGGCCTGCTCCCTGGGCCGGGTCTGGAGTAACTGTGTCTGCAAACCCGCTGCCCACTTCCCAGAAGCGGGCTTTTCCCCGTTCTAATCGGTGTGCAGTGTCTCCTTGTTGTGTTGTGTTGCGTTGTTGCTCTATAGGACTGAAATGCTTTTATTGTTTTCATTTTTATTTATTTTTATGTTTTAAATATATTTTCTATTTCAGAGAGGAAGGGATAGGGAGAGACAGAAACATCAATGATGAGAGAGAGTCATTGATCGGCTGCCTCCTGCACGCCCCCTACTGGGGATCGAGCCCACAACCCGGGCATGGGCCCTGACCAGGAATCGAATCCAGGACCATTCAGTCCAGGCTGAGGCTCTATCCACTGAGCCAAACTAGCTAGGGCTATTTTTATTTATTTTTATTTTTTATTTTTTCCCTTGGTACTATATTTCCTGTTTTATTATGTTTTTAATGTTCACACTCTTTATCTTTCATTTTTATTTTTAAAAAAATCTTTATTGTTGAAAGTATTAATATGTTCCCCTTTCCCCCATTGACTCTCTAGCACCCCTGCTCCCCGCCCCAGCCTCACCCCTGTTGTCAGTGTCTATGGGGGATGCCTATTTGCATACAAGTTCTTTGGTGATCACGTCCCACTCACCCCCCTCCCCTTTCCCTCTAGTCCGTCTGCAGAGGAGCCGCTCACTCTCTCAGACAACAGGACCCCGTGGGCCTGGCGCCCTGTGAGGGAAGAGCCCTGCGGGGGGAGGGGGTCAGGGAGGCTGGGTGTCCCGGGCCCATTGCAGAGTCTGCGTCGGGCCTCCCAGGGCCGGCCTGCGTGACACAGTGTCACAGGGAGGTCAGGCTCCACGCCTCCCGTCCCCCGTCCCCCTGGCCCCCGGCCTGGGCTGTATCTGACCCGCTGGCCCAACCTCCCAGCCATGGCCGGGCCCTGGGCGTCCCCCCTGCACCCTCC